CACTGCATGAGGGTCTGGGTGGCCAAGCACAGTACAGATGAAGAGCCACACAGAAGCCCAGCGAACAACCTCCTCTGAAGCTGCTGTGTCATTAAAGGTCCCAGAGGGTAATCAGCTGCTGCCAGTGTCCCCAGGTGAGATCTTCCAAAAGGTAAGAACCCCTGCACTGAAGTGCACTAAGCCAGTCAGCCCCAGAACGACACAGGTTGGCCGGGATCCCTGGAAGTCACCCAGTCCAATCCCTGCTTAACGCCGGTCCGACTGGGCAAGGCCCCAAGCAGCCTGCTCTAGTGATATTTTGAGGCTCACCAAGGATTGAGATGCTACCACCTCTAGGCAACTTGTTTCTAAGTTTGGCTGCCCTTATGGTGGAAAACAAAAAATATTATCCTTATATCTACTCAGTTTCCCATGTTGCAACTCTGTTCATTGCCTCTCATCCTATTACTGGGCTCCCTTGAGAAGAGTCTGCCCCCACCTTCTCTACGCTCTCCCAGTAGCTGCTGTGGACAGCAAGGCATTTCCCCAGAAACCTAGTTCCCTCCGCCTCTCCTACGCACACCACACATAGTCCGTGCTACTAATGGTTGGACTGGATGATCTTAAAGGTCTTTTCCAACCTAAATGATTCTATGATTCTACTCTGCCCAGAACCAGTTTTGGCTACACCACCACCAAGGCTCAGAACAAGTATGCACCACTGCTCATCTGGCTGCCAGTGCAAACACTTCTCTCCTTCAAACCCACATTTCTCCCGTCTCCGCCCTCTCCCCACCCTCCACCATCAACACCAGCAAGGAAAAGGCACAAGCTTTGCTCAAGGAAGCCGTAAACAACCACCCAATCTGTTAAAATACCTGATGCAACGTTAACAAGGAACTGGGTTTGGTTTAAAGCCAAGTGTGGGGCTACGTAAACCCCTTGGCTCTGCCGGTACGTAGCTATGGAGTAAGTGGAGAGCCATCCTCACCAATGAATTGCTGCCCGAGCCTCTGGGCCCTCACAGCTCAAAGGGAAGTCCCCCGTACTCAGGCCACAGGAGTACGAGGAGGCCCTAAATGCTGCAGAGCCAATTTGCAGACTGCTAGATCCTGATATGCTATTTCCTCATGTGCAGCGGGGCCACGTGCCAGGGCATCCATCTCATCCGATGTGCTCTATACAAGATGTTTTCCACTCAGAAGAGTCCCATTCTCTATGACATCACTGAGATCTTTGAAAAAAAATTATCTGCATAAACTACTCAATCCAGTTTAAATAAACAAAATGCATCTTCACATTCTACCCAAAGGCCTATTTCTGTGAGCAGAGTTTAAAATCACATCCTGTATCTGTTGACATCAGGTGGTGCGTTTTATTCTTCCCGACATCACTGGAATTAAAGAGATGTCAGCATATAGGTCTTATCGCCAAGTAACTAAGAGGGAGGTTTCTCTTTGAAAAAGGCGAGGGTCCTTACCTTGCTCCAAGCATACTACCAAAATCGCTGGTGAAGCAGGACATGGTTGGTACCTGTGATAATTCAGTCCTCAGAAAACACTGCAAAACCACTATGACCTGGCCATCTGATGTTAACACAGAGCAAATACTTGTAAAGAAATGAAGTCTGCTGAACAGTATGGTTAACAGCAAAACTCGGGAAACAGGCATGAACAAGAGTATTAAAATTGCATTTTTTATTTTTTATTAAAAGAACTAAAGAAAGCCATAGCACTTGTTTGGGGAAAAAAAACAAACAAAAAACTCCTCAGACCCCCCAAAACATTCCAAACTGACAGCTGACAGTAAAACATTTGGCAATTGTAGGTTTACAAGCTCATGAAGCAGAGTTATGGTGAAATCTTATGAAGTCATGAGAGGAGTCCCACTACCACGTGAGACTATCCAGAGCCCTGTCTCCAAGAGCTTCTCTTTTCAGTTTTGTAATCTGGGTACCACTTGCTTTGTGCAAGGGTAGTTCCGGCTGTACAGCCACAGACTAAGTCTAATCAAGTGTTTCCACAAAAAGCTGTTGATGTGAAGAGTCACCAAGTCATTTTGAGCTGAAGTCCATGGCTTTTATACAAGCAGACTATTTGACCAGTAAGAAGTACTATTTTCAGGTTTACCTATTGCAAATACAAGCTGTAAAAATCAAGCAGCAATTTATGATTCAAGTATTTAGACTCCCAAATGTTATAAGCTGTATTCCCTTCTCTCTGAAGAACTGAGCTAAGAGAAGAAGTTCTTACCTGGACAAAATTTGGTCTAATTGTCCTGAACAACCTCCTGCTTCCACACTGCTCCAGGAACGAGAACAGAAGAAACTCACCATCTATCATCAGAGCTGAAACTACTGTTTGTCTTTCGAAATGAGGGTGCTAGAACAGCACAAGCATTCCACTTGGCTTTTCATCATCACTTCTCCAAATGCAAGGCATGGATATTACCGCGCGCACTGAGAAACAGAGCAGTTGAAAGTCAGCGCAGGCAGACTATGTGAATACCCTTCTTGGTATTTCTACCAGTGGGTGAACATACTGCACCTGTTAAATGTAACCTGAGTGGCACACCCGAGCAGCCACACCAAGGGTCTCCATGCACCATTTCAAGCTTTCTAGACCTCTTGCACTTGATCTGTACGCAAGCAAAGAATGTATTTAGCAGGAAATGACACCACATTTGCATTCCTCACCACAACATTGTTTCCCTTTTTAAGGATAAAATTGCTAGCAATTTCAAAGTATCTCTAACTTCCTGATTTTGGTGTTACAGGTGCAAAATAATTTGTATCTTTAAGTGCAAAACAATTTGGTAGTTCAAGTTCTATGTCCAAACACACATCCTCCTTCTCCATACCGTTAAAAAGACTTGATCCCTTAGGTATGGTGTAAAATCATTACTTTTTAGACCATTTTTAAGACAAAAGCTTGGGCAGAACTCCTCCAAAACACTGTTCCCATTTGCCTCCCAAAAGGGAAGATACAAATCAAGAAACAAAATCAGCACAGTTATGTGGATCAGCTTGGAGCAACTTCCCCCCAACACCCCCCAGTTACTCCCTTCTGGACCAGGCAGAGCACAGGAGACCACTGGTTCTGCAAATTTGTCGGGGGTGTTTGAAGTGTCTTTCAAATTGCCAGCACACTTCCCTTCCCCGTCCCTCCCCTGGGGCAGTCCTTTTCACCCAGCACTGACTTTCTGTTAAAGTTTCCATTAAACGGTTTGGTTCCAGTACCCGCCACGTTCAAAGGAAGGATAATCCCCGATGACAGTCTGAAACTCCTACACAAATGAGTTATCTCTAGAAGACGACCAGCTGTACCGGCTAGCATTACTTGTTGCCCACTTCTTCAAGGTGCTTCCTCTTTCAACACCATTCTTCTTCTAGGTAAATTCACCTTCAAAGTTTGTCCTTTTCTGCAAGGACTCCAGAACGTCACAGAAAGTGCTGCGTCTGTCAGATTCTAGTTTGTCACAAATCATTATTTGGCATCAGTTTCTCCAGTTCGAAGGCAAGACAGAATGATGTTTACATTCAAAGCATCACCTATTTACTGTGGCAGCAAGAAGGACAAATTGTTTATTAGTACAGATGGATAAGCAGTAGCCCAACTGTTCCCCCTGTTTTTTATAGCTCGTATTTTGAGGAAGACTTAAAAGAGCACAATTCAGCCTGAGCTAATACCAAGCTTGCGCAGGAGTGGAGGAAGAATTTACTAGAATATGCTTAAACTCACAGTGTAAGACGGTGGTCTCTTTGGAAAAGAGAAACCTTTGCATTAAACCAAACTTTTCCCAAGATTTCAGGTATCTGAACCAGTAATAGAGTCCTTTAGAAAGAAATTTAGAAAGCTAAGTAATAACTAACTAAGGAACAACTTTTTTTTTTTTTTCCCCCCCCGATGTGGCAATAATGGCAACCAAGTTCCCCCTGAAACCTCAACTGAAACACTATCAATAAGTAACTTGAAAGCAAGTCCTCCTCCCGTCTCCTCTATAATCTTTTACACAAGCTCAAGTAGCGTGTTCCTGAATGGCAACTTTCAGTGTAAAGATTTTCAAAGAGCATGGAAGCAAACTAAGTGGTACAAGCCCAGAGTGGGAATGGAAGATTCCCACTGACCAGTGTGAACGAACAGGTACCCCACCTGCACGCTTCTCAAACAAGGAGACTCTGTTAAGAGCACACAAACAAACAGTGAACCTGGATTTGAGTAGTTCAAGGTTCATGCTAATTTGGCTAGCTGACCTTGCCCGAGTCGACTGGCTTACAAACTGCACCCACGATTTTAGTAAATATTTACACATATTGTATGCAAACATGCTGAACCTGAAGAAACTTTACCACCATGATTTTCAAGTGCAAATACAGTCTCCCTTAATTCTGCTCTTAATGTATTAAAAAAACCCAACCAAACAAAAACAAAGCCACATTCAATTATTCCCCCCAAACCCTAGCCTGCACGAATTCTCTAAAAATAGATAAATATCGATCTGAAGGTTCACAAGAAATGAACTACTTAATTAAATGAAACATAGCTTAAAACAAGCAACACTGAATCTATTCCTCCATTAAAGAGGACTAAAAGTCCCTGCATAGAGAAAGCAGTAAGTAAATGTTAGAAGTACTATTAGTTAAGACATCAGACAAAAACAGATCAGATTCCTGACTTGCTATTTTTGTCTTCACATAACAACAACTCCATTTGGATGTTCGAAATTCAGCCTGCCTCAACATAAAATATTGCTTTCTACTTGCAATGCGCTATGAATAAAGGAAAGACTTTCAGTCTCAATATTTAAGTTACTGACGTATACGGACTGTTGGTTGTCATTGGTTTGTTCCAATGATCCACGATTGCTTCAAATTAAGCACAGCTGAAGACGGTCGCAGATGCATCCAAATGTAGGGTTGTTTCAATAACTTAATAGCACTTTGATGTTTGCCTTGCTGAATTCTTCACTGCTGAAGGAGGATTCAGTTCACAGCAAAAAATAAAACAAGGCAGTTATGAAGATCATGTAACGCAGAGCTCCGAAGCCCACAGCGGAGGTTTACTGCAGTATGGTAGTCTGCTTCTGGTCTCTTGAGCACAAGCAGCTGCTGTAGCAGTTGCCCCCTCCTCTTCTGCATCTTCCTGTACCTCCCTGAAGCCTTCTGCTTCTTGGAATGGATTCTCCAAGAGTTTCAGGACGTTTCTTACCTAGACAGAAAACGTAACGTGGTTATGAGAATTTAGAAAGTAAAAGCAAAATGATGTAGAGAAGAACCTCACACCAAATAATGATCGAGTATACTGTATTTAATACATAAACTCCAGACAAGCCGAATATGAAATAGATGAACAGTATGCATATCAAATAGGCTGAAAACTGTAAAATCATAACTGGCTCAGTTTGTCTCTGTATAGAACTGAAGCACAAGTAATTTGAAACATAAGTCTCAAATGCAAGTTCTTATGTCCTTTCTCAAAATAAATTCATTTTCCCGTGTTCTGCATGTACCAATCCACATGCTGAACTCCACAGGTGAAAGCCCTAAGTTTTAAAAGATAACACTTAGCACAGCAAGGAACCAGTATAAATTAATCCCCAACTGCCTCCCAAGGTAAACACCATTCTGAAGACAGTAAAAGCAGGGGTAAGCATCTTGTCCTGGGATCAGCCTACAAAAGCTGGTGGAGTTCAGATGCAGATTTTCAATTCCTTCCTTTGTTCTACAGTCATTAAAACAACAGCTCCCTCAAAAATCATACAGACCTTCTGAACAGTAAATTCCCAATCCCCTTACTGCCTGAGATGGCAGGATAAATCTCACCTAGCATAATGTCAGTCATCAACAGCACCACTACACATCCACGCAAACCTAGAGAGACGTTAAGTAGCCATAGCGTACCTCTGAGAAATCCCCGTTTTCAGCTGCTTCTATGGCATTCTGGGCAATATAATTTCTCAAGATATATTTTGGGTTGTTTGAATTCATGACCTTCACACGATGAGCATTCCAGGCATCAGCATCACTAACATTTTCTATTTCTTTTTGCAAACGCACTCTGAAATTAAGCAAGTGAAAGCAACTGGTTCAGTTCAAGAATCACACGTAAAAGTTGACCCGTTTCCTTGCCTTGAGATCCTTAGTTTGCAGCTCTTAATAAACATTACATCGCCTACAATCCTCTCAGTTTATAAAATCCAGCACAACAACAGATTACAAAACACTTCATTACAAACAGCATTACAGACCCTGACGAGGCTTGAGGAAGTGGCACACCTTGCATATTCCCCGAAAAGTCAGACTGCAACACTGCTGCACGGTCTGTTCTGCATTGCTCTGCAAAAACCTTCACATTCAGAACTTGGCTTAAGTATTTCTGCGCTTGTTTATCGGTTAAAGCTTTTGATGTTCTGACGAAAGTAAAGGGATACAACACAGCTGAGGCAGTCTGATCTACCCATTAGCAGGAATACTTGCTAAAACTCTCAGCCCCACCAGAGAACAAGATCACAGGCAGCCAGGTGAGGAAAGGAGTCCTGACCTAATCCATGCAGCAGAAACAACTAAGGGGGAGGCGTTTATAGACAATCTCCTGCTAGCACTGAGTTTTTAGAATTTGAAGTTATGCCTGTTAGAATAGTCTGGACTTCTTTTTTTCTGGCCATGACTTCTTTTACAGCTACCCTTTGATTAAGAATACTTCTACTTGCTTTCTATATTAATACATAGATTTTACACTTTTCTTTTTCCGAAAGAAAAAGGAAAAAATGCTTAGAGATCGGTCAACTGTAGTTAGTGAGCACTTAATAGCTCACAACTAAAATCAGTCTCTGCTAGAATCACATCAACATTCTTGAAGCACTTTTAACACTAGATTTCATGCGAGGCGATTTCTGTAACCCCCACCCCTCCCCAAAAGCTAGTAAACAAAATACACAGATGCCCATGAACTTGCACAGCAACACAGATCTTGGAGTAGTTAATATTCTGAGCTGCACGCCCCCCCCCATCCCTCCCAACCTACATACTTTGAGACAGGGTGTCTTTCCTGCGAGAGGCACACTGTTTTCAAAATGTAGTGCAAATATACTGCTCTGAACACTGAGAAACCTTACCGGTATTTCTCCAGCCATTCCTTCCAGTGCCTTTTGTTTCTGCTGAGTAAATCAGCTGCCGTTAACTGCTGCAGTTTAGAGAATTGCTCGATGCGTTCTAATTCTTTATTTATATTAGCTTTTGTTCCAATTAATGCAAAGAGCTGAGGATTAGACTGAGCCAACATTAGCATCATTGACAGCTGCCTGGGAACAAAGAGGAACATGCCCATTAGATATTAAACTTCAGCTGCCTGTCAAGAACCATCTTTTTGCAACCATAAAGTAGATATGAAAACATTCACAGTAACCTATGATTTCACTAGAGAGGTTAAATAACAGTACTTTATAATCAACAGAACAAATTTGTAGTAAGTTATGCCAATTTTACTGTTCCTTTCCCCTTCTTCAGTGTGTTTAATTCACATTCCTGTGGTACATAAAGTGCAGACAGTAGATTTTCAGAATTACCAATTGGGTTTAGATGCACAATTCTCATCAAAACACTCTTGATACTTTGAAAGGAATTCAGAATAAGGAATCTCATCTTACTTAGGTATCAAGATAATACAGAATCCATAGGGTTTGTTTTGATTTTTTTTTTTATTTCTTTTCGTAACATTAATACTGTGACAGCATGCAGAATAAGGATCTAACACTTACTAATCTTACCAGTACTAAGAAAAACCCAAATCATATGGGGAAAGATACCTCATTTAAGTCATATGAGACAACAGTTTGTCTGGGGTTTTTTTAGCTAGCCAGTCTAAATCACAGAATGAGAACTGCTTTGTGGTAATAAATTCCTAACAGCATCCAGGCTGTTTTGCTGCAAGTTTGACTAGGAGTGTATCTTTTTACATTTGACTGTGTTAGCTGATACTGTACAATAGCTTCACCTTATTTTTGATACCATGCCAGCTAACTTTTGTTTTTCCTGGATTAATAACTGCATGACAGCAAAAATTAAAATAAAAAAAACCCCAGAGTGTAAGTTGCAGTATATCAAAATACATTATTTTTATTTCCTTCTATGAATGCATTTATAAACAAAGCAGAAAAGAAACATTATTTCCTGGCCTCAAAACACACAACTCACTATATCAGATTATATTTTCCTACTTCTAATAAGCAGAGATATCCTAGGTGCTTTGATTTTGAGTTTATATAAAGTACTATCCAAATCTGATTTATGCATCTGATGTGCCTAGCTCTACAATATCCAAGTCGTGTGATAAAAATCAGTTAATTACTCACTTTAACACAGTACTATGCCCTTCCAAAGCTTTACATCCACATAATGATGATTTATAGCTACTTTTCACATTCCTCTAAGCCTGAAAGTAATGTTTAAAAAAAATAGTCTCATCTGTCACTTGAGCTATCTTCATATTGTATATCTGTTTACAACTCCAAATTAGATGAAACCTGGAACTTAATTCAATAAGCAGTATCCACCACCTTAATTTAGTTCCCTTTCATTTTAGCGTATCATCACTAAAACTTAAATAATCAGCAATATCTCCAAGATGATAAACGACTACAGCCAACCACCTTGGCATAACACCAAACTTGTTCATACAAGTTTCACACCAGTCCATCTTCTCAACTCCCTGCTTTCCACAAGTTAACTGTGATATCAACACATAGAAAAAGCTGAAGAATTTTGTAGATTCATTACCTTCATGGAACACTTATTAATCGGGGGGGAAATGAGGGGATAACCCTACCCAAAATTCATGGGTCACACTCATTCCCTGTTTTCCACGGCTCCAAAAAGTGAAAAACTGCTGCAATCATTGTTATAAGCAGCAGTTGAACAAAACTTACTATTTTTCCATGCTCAGAGCAGCTGGGCTGCAGAACATAACCCATCAAATGGGACATGGACAGCACCACACAGTTTTCAGAGCCTAAAGTGTGCATTTAGGTTATATTTAGCCCAGAACATGGTGATTATTTGCTGACAGTACATTGGCAGAACATGGTAAATCCATTTCTTCTATAAAATATTTCTGTATCACTTCACTGGCACTCTTATTGCCTTACTCAGCAGAGACAGTGGAGGGGGGAAAAAAACCCAAACCCAAAAACCAAACCAAAACCCCAAACAAAAGCTCAGACAACTTTAGCCCAAGAGCTAACTGCTGCAAGTCACTGCTGAGCATTCACCAGTCACAAAATACACAAGAATTTGCACTGCTGTGGATCATGATGTGTCTACTTAACAGTGAAATTTCCAAATTTAGTCAAACATTACACATCATGCAGAGTTCATTATGGTTATGATGAAACTAAAAGCACAGGCCAAAAGCATTTAAAGAAGAGTATTACCTTGGATCCATCTGTGGTTTGAAAGCAACTTTCAGTTCTTCCACAGAAGCACACTGACTTGTAAGCTTTTCTAAGAAATCTTCCAGTTTTGAAGGATCAGAGTCTACTGAGAATGAACTCAGCAAGTAGAAAATATTTGTGAAGTCTCCACCTGAAAAAGTGAATTCTATTAGCAATGCAACTAATAAATCAGAAGGAAAACAAGTCCCATACCTCCTTCCTTACACACCCCCCCCCCAGCAGTACAGGTCACCACTGAGGCAGCAAATAAACTGCTCCCCTCAGCGAGGGTGCAAATGTGAGATGGGGGAGCCCTGTATAAGGCAACAACTGCCCCACAGTTCACAAGAAGGTAATTATTTTTCAGTTTTTTTTCTTCTCTCAGATGACAAGGTACTTGTGCAAGGCTGCTTTCTTGTAAAGTCAAGACAAAAACAACATTTTGTTTTGACTGTGAGATACTGATGGGCTATTAAATAGTAACCAGCTGTGTCCCTCACCAACCTGTGAGATGCATGGTTTCAAGGAGTTCAGACACCAGCTTGCTATCTTCTTCTAATTCCAGCTGGATTAGGCCTAATTTCTTCCTCATCTTCTGTAAATAATGTTTCTCAAATTCTGCATCATATTCCTCTTCCAGGATGAGTTCACTTATTTCCAAGGGCAGCTCTGGAACCAAAGCTTCAGCAAGCTTCCCCAGGTTCCACTTGCAAATCTCTGGCTGCTTGTTGTAAGCATAGCGCCCTGTATTATCAGAACCATTGCAAATGTGCTCAGGGTCATATCTACAAATGAAGAAATAGTTAGCATTCTTCTAGTTATCTGGACACCAATAGCATGAGAAATATTATTTTCATTATTTTAGTCTCCTCTAGAAAACTAAAAACTTCAAAAGGGAACATTCCTTGATTCTTTTCCCAAAGTTACCTCATCAGGTATTTTCCTGCCCTCTCAAACACCGAGAAACCCCCCAGGCTACAAGAACAGTCTAACAGTTAGAGATGTTGTGAATACAGTTAAAAAGGAGTTGAAAAGAATAATTACAGGACAACTAGAACTAACTTGATCTACTTTGCCATAAAGAGGGTTCATAAATCTACTTTAGAGTTAAAATATTAAAGCAATTGCGAACATCAGGATTGTTCTACATAGCAAATAGGTATGCACATTTCAAATAATTATGCCACACTGACCTGTCCATAAATCCAAAAGGGCCATAGTCAATGGTTAGTCCAACTATGCTCATGTTGTCTGTATTCAGCACGCCATGGCAAAACCCAACACACTGCCATTCAGCAACCAATCTTGCTGTCCGTTTCGTTATCTAAAAAAGAATTTCCAATACATTCATGTATTTCCAAGCATTTCATAGTCTGAACTGATGCTTCTACGGCTCTGATGGAAGCAGATTCTGGCAGTATGCCATACATGCAAATATCTTAAGGACATCTTGCTCTCTCCTGTTAGTAACTGCCCTGTTTCTCAGTCTCCCATTTCTGTTTGCCTCCTCTCCTTCCATGCTTGACTTGCAGGTCAACTGGACAGCTTTAAAACATACTGGAGACAGAACCTTGAATTAAGGTAAACTGTTTGACACCAGACTTGCGTGCTATTCTAGTCATTATACAATTATATTCTTTTGCTTACTATTAATTTTAAAGACCCTTTAACTGCAGGCAGGAGAAAACACAAGCAAAGCCTAAGAAATAAAATTAACTATACGCAACAAAACCCAATGTAAAATTAGTCTTTTGGTTTACCTGGTACGTAGGAGGGATTTACAGGAAGATAAGTGGTTTAGAGAAAAAGTTATTCCCTGCTAACAAGTTTTAGCACTGATAAGCACTTCCCTCAATTTGCTGAGAGTGAAAAAAAGCTACAAGGTTAAGTAAAAATATTCCAAGAATGTAAATTTTATTTAAATGCAATTCTTCACTGAATGCATGCTACACCAGAGTTTTTCCATTGCTTAACTGAGAGTTATTGTTGTGGAATCCTTGACTGCAATCACTGTTTGTGCCCCATTCTTTAAATAAAGAGTGTAATATTTTAAAATAGTTCTAGTTATTTAATTAAATTAGCCCACCTGTCAACTACAACTAGATATGACCTATGAAATCTAAAATTCAGGAAGCTAACCTGGCTTTTAAATAAACCTAGGTATTTCTAAATACTTTACCGAATTACTGTCAATAAAAACGTTATGTAGCCATTAGCTAAAACTTTTAAATCAAACTATTTTCATGGCTAAAATCACTTGTCTTCCCAAATAGCTATCAATGTACAGAAATGTAACGCAAATATTCTCTCCAGGCTGCAGTGTAAGTGTATTTTATTAAGGTTTAAAAAATGATCTAGTTAACAGAGGAATTGTTAGTTTTATGCCCCTGTCTTCAAACCCCAAATTTCTCCATTTTCCTTTTTTTAAACATGTGCAGTCAGGTCAGGAAGAAAAATTAGAAACATCTTGCGCTGGGATAGTCTGACAGGTAGTAAAAACCACAAATGGTGCTTGGAACAGTAGCTTTCAGTTCACCTTGAGATCCCATGCTTCTGCTTTTTACAATATTCTCACGTCAGGTACTTTACCCAGTTTTCCTGAACGCTGCTTCACGGGGCAGTCGGCAGCCAGCTACATGTGTCCAAAACTGATTACTGGCATGCCACAAACCAGTAAGGGAGACACACCCAGTACGATGGCTCTCTGCCAGGAAGAGGGCAAAACTTCAAAATACAAAAATCCTGGCCACCTGGGGTTGGGATGAAAGCACGCCAGCAGTACGGCGATTCATGACTGCTTAGATGTCTTTGTATGAATGCATCACACACTGCCAGTGTTCTGGTAAAAAAGAAATCCTGCTAATGAGAACACCTGAAAGTAATTAAAGGTTGGGTGCCACTCAAAGATGGGCATATTGATAAGAAAGAGATGACTTTGCGCTCATTTTGACCTTTATTCTTTTTGGCCATGTTTTTCTACTGCTAGCCATACTAGAAAACAAGTGTGGTGTTATCTATAAATAAGAGCACTATCTCAAGGACGTGCTCATTTAAATTTAAACACCACCTACAAATTATTTGAGAAGTACAGATAATGGCGTTTGCTTTCTAGACAGTGCTGCCAAATGCAATCACTTATACTTTTTTCCTCCATTTCTTCCACAGTGCAAAAAGAAAGATAAAACACGTTAGAGTTGAGCTGACAGCACTTCCCCACTATTAAAAAAGATGGACATATTTGTCAAATTAGGTAAAGGACTGGGGTGCTTTTTGGGTGGAGAAAGGTATGGGAAGTCTCCACTAAGGAGGAGAGAAAACACAAAGAGGCAATGCTAGCACAGGCATGGAGCGCAAACAGGCAGGAGAAGCACAACAAAATAAAAAACAGAGATGGGGCAATAACGAAAGGCTGCCAGGATGGGGGGAGGAAACCAGTAGTAACTGGGCCAGGAAAAGCAGCCAAAAGCAGGAAGAGGCAGGACTGGGCACACACACATGCCTGCAGAGATCCCCAAGTCCCATGACTTTTCTGCCATCAGAAAGCATGCCATCAACTGCAGAGCTGGACGCGCACATAGTGGGTGACAAGCCACAGTCCTCCTCCTCGACTCCAATCGTTCAAACGCAAAGGGCCTGCCCAGTGAAGTTAAACTCTTCAGCACCCAGCGGTGGACCCAGCCACAGCTTGCTTTTGAAGAACTAATGCAAGTATGCACAGGTTGTATTAAAGCAAAAGCAAAAAAAAAAACAACCCCAAACAAACAAACAAGAAAATCCACCACCCCCCAAAAAAACCAAACACCACCAAAAAAAAACCCCAAAGAAAAAACCAAAACACCCCTACAAATTCAAAACCCACCTTATTTAGAGAATGTCTGACTTTAAGCCTGCTTTCTGACCTCTTAATGGTCTGTTATGAACATGCATCATGTTGCAGCCATTCCCTCAGTCCCTACCACATAATTTCAGATTTCAAAGCACCACAACTGCTTTTAGTGAAGTGTATTAGACTGTGGTATTTCTTAATTATTCTGTTTACTGGCTAGTTATAACATTCTTATTTGGGTTGTAACATTACTTGACCTTCAGGTGACCAAATTGGAGCCTTTACTATAGTTCTGCAGTAATCACAGAATGCTTTGGGTTGGAAGGGACCTTTAGAGGTCATCCAGCCCAACCCCCCTGCAGGGAGCAGGGACAGCTTTAACCAGATCAGGGTGCTCAGAGCCCCGTCCAACCTCACCTTGGATGTTGCCAGGGATGGGGCCTCTACCACCTCTCTGGGCAACCTGTGCCAGTGCTTCACCACCCTCATTGTAAAAAACTTCTTTCTTATGTCTAGTCTAAACCTATTCTTCTTTAGTTTAAATCCGTTATTCCTTGTCCTGTCACAACAGGCCTTGCAAAAAAGATTCTCCCCATCCTTCCTGTAGGCCCCCTTTAAGTACTGAAAGGCCGCAATAAGGTCTCCTCGCAGCCTTCTCTTCTCCAGGCTGAACAACCCCAACTCCCTCAGCCTGGCCTCATAGGAGAGGTGCTCCAGCCCTCGGATCATTTTGGTGGCCCTCCTCTGGACCCGCTCCAGCAGGTCCATGTCCTTCTTGTGCTGAGGGCCCCAGAGCTGGACGCAGTGCTCCAGGTGAGGTCTCACCAGAGCAGAGCAGAGGGGCAGAATCCCCTCCCTCGACCTGCTGGCCACGCTGCTTTGGATGCAGCCCAGGATACGGTTGGCTTTCTGGGCTGCGAGCGCACATTGCCGGCTCATGTCCAGCTTTTCATCCACCAGTGCCCCCAAGTCCTTCTCCGCAGGGCTGCTCTCCCTTCCGCAAGGGTAGCATCACTATATACTAATCACTAAAACACAGAGAGAAGCATCTTACTCCCTTACCCCAAATTCTTTCTTTGCTCACTGAGACAAAGGATATAGTAATAGAAATTCAATGTCAAGAACAGCAATACAATATCAACAGCAAGACAAAAGTGATATTCAGGAGATAAAGTGCAGATACCAATTAATTTAGCTATGTTTTACTTCAAAGAGAAATATAGCAATTCTACATTTACTAATGCTATAGTTCCGATATTTATTATGGATCTCCAGTAATTGTTAAGGTCTAAATTTATACAGTAATTGAAAACGGGTTCAAAACAGGTCTCGGAAATCACCCAGCCTTTCCTCTGGGCTGCCCCAGAATGACCTGATACTACACCACATCTAAGACAGATTTATCTCACCTGACCCTACCATTCTCAAACGGAGGTTCTGCAACTTCCTCAGGCAAGCCCTTGCAGTGCTTGACAGCCTTTAAACATTCCAATTCTAAAGCCTGAAGTTAGTGATTTGCAGTCAACATTCCTGTTTGTAATTTGGAAAGTGAGAGACAGGAAGTGACTCGATGTTCTCAGTGTTTTACAAGACGATGCCTTGCAAGTGATGTCTCGGTACCGTCAACTCATCATCCGACAGCCACGGCCAGAATCCCCCCTCACAGTCTAAGACACTCTCAGCAAATGGAGACAAGTCTTGGGAAGCTCTCCCAGAGCAGAGAAATCATGATTTACTATTAAAAAGGTTAAACCACTTTCATTGGTTTGATCAATATCAACATTGCTTTCATTGATAAGCAGTTCTATTAAGAGGGTTTTCTTCAAAGAAAATAGTTCAGGCAATCGGATGATACAAGCTATTAACCGACTCCAGTCATCTGTGCTTGCAGATGAAGTTCCTGAAGGTGACCGCTACAGATTGATGAAGAGAATCTGATCTTTCTTACCTCTTTGAAGAAAGCAGCATTCCTCTGGATACTGTTGTCTGAATAAGCCTCCTGGATTTCTGGATAGAAAGTGCTGATCACGTAATCTAGCATCTGTATTCGAATATCGTTTCGGTTAACACTGGGACCCTTGCGTCCTGTGTATTCATCGGTAGGTTTAAAAATTTCGAAAGAACCAAATCTGTTTTAAAATAATAAAAACACGTTTTAGCATTATCTGATACTATTAACTTAATTTGATATTACATGTAGTAAAAACATTTACTGATGTTGCAATAAAACCACATTAGCTCTTGAGTTTAACACCAATCCTTCAACTGACTGAGAGAAAAGACCCGCAAGATTCCTACACTGAACCTAGCGAGGCTCAGTGACTCAACGCAAGGAAGCGCATACATCCACGTGTAACTAAACTGACAGATCAAGACCTAGCCAGTACTGAAGACCAGCTTGTTAAATTTTCTTATGACCATTTCTACAGAAAAATTCTTATCCTGAATAAATATGCAGGAATAGGACTTATTTAAAATACTAGACTGTACATCAAGCATGTAAGATAGGTTTTTCCACATATATATGTACACACACAGAGGCATGCACACATATATACACACACATATACATACATATTCCTTATGCCTCACCTTCCTCTAATATTCTATTACCTTACAAGAAGCCATGCAACTTCCTGAAACTCTGAATGTTTTGTGTCGGAGCAGGAACCTCGTACACTTCTCAAGCAGGGAAAGTACACCCAACCTTTGGCAGTACTACATTAGAATAGCTTTGGAATGAAGGGTAGAGCTATAATCCACCACTACTACCAACATCAAAAAAAGCTTGTATTCTCTGCAGGCATAAACATAAACATCTCTTCTGAGGTCTGCAGAACTTAGTTCTTTTTTCTGCCAGGCTAGCATCCTTAGTGTTTATCTGTCTGTGTGCAAAGACACCAGCTCATCACATCCACTGGACAAGACGAGCGGCTTCCTACAGCCTAGCAAAAGCGTTCCAAGCCTCCAGCACAGGAAACATGCAAATGGCCCTGTTCTGGAAATACATGTAAAATGGTATTTTAAGACTGCTGTGCTTGGTTTTAGAAGAATAAAACAACCCAACAAAACAGGTGTCTACCTTAGAAATGTAGAAGCTATCCTCAGAACGACTGTACACCTTTCACTTTTTGGATTCCCATCATAAAATATGTCACGGACAACTTTCGAGTCAGATGTCACACATGTTCCAGCCCTCGTTGTTGGTATTCCTAGGTGAAACATGGCCTCGCTGCACAGGAACTCCCGTATGCTGGACCGCAGGACCTTCCGACCATCAGCTTGTCTGCAACAAGAAGACAGACCGTTTTCAGGCTGTAAAGGCAGGAATTCCCGTCTCCCCCGTGACGTGCTCTGTCCACATTCACACAACAAAGTAGTGGCAGATCTGAAACAAAAACTGGACCTTCAAACTCTGTTAGATGGACACAACACACTTGCAATGAAGACCACACGTAACAGAAGAAAATAAACCTTCCAGTTACACATATCCCTTCTAATCATTAACTGCTGCTTTTATTGATGCAATAGAGTATTTAAAAAAATTAATAAAATAGCTATACTTGTCCAAAATTTTTTAGATAAGTCACTGGTTTCCTCTCAATAAAATGGCTACTGTTATGCCTCTTGAAAAATAGTATTATTTTGGATCTTTCTGAGTAAGTAATCTAGAAATGGGGTGTTTAATACAGGCACGCATGGCAGTTGCATTAAAAAAACCCAAAACTGAACAGACAGCAAATAGCAACCTAGCTCATTTACTAGATACCAAGTAAACGGAACAGGCACGGGTGGTTCTCAGCCCACACTCCCAGCACTTCAGAAGCCCTGGGCAAGCAGCAGAGCCACCCAGGGCGGACCTACAACGCTACCACCGTATTTGGGATTTTTACTGCAACTTCCTTAACCTTCACAGACCTGAAGATGGCCTTCAGAGCACTGCATGTATGGAACTAGGGTGTTCCCGAGCCTGTGCACAGCTGGAACAGAAAACATAGGAAATGCAAGTGGGAAAAATGACTTGAAAGAGTTAAAGCAGTGCAGGCTAAACTGACTAATGAAGGTATCCATCCCTTGCAGGGATGGGGTCAGTATGCCATTTTTAGGGCTTTTCCAGCATTCCCTCCCTTCAGCCAGGAAGGATGGAGGAGAGGCGCAGCAGGCAGAAGGCCCAGCAGCACAAACGAACCAAACACCCGCATTTTAAACACCATTTGCGTGGGCCACAGGACAACACGGCAGCAAGCGCTCAGGTGGCTGTCACACACCGCTGTCCCCACTTTCCTCACCATCTGCACCCTCCTAAAGGGGGAAAAAACGTCAGAGGGGGATAACCAGGGATGGAAGTAATGTACCGGCTGAAGGAGATGCAATTACATTCTTATTTTCCAGAGGAAAATTTTGCCACCTTCTGGTTTAGCATTAAGCATTACGCTTGCTGCAGCGAAGATTTAAAAAAAAAACAAAAAACAAACAAAACAGAACACCACACGAGGGCTTAAGCGACGAGCTCTGCCTCGGGGCGCGATCCTGGCACAAAACCAGCTGGAAAAGGCCCCGGGAATGCCAGCAGCGGGCAGGGGCGCCCGGCCCCGGCCTGCCCCGCACAGCGAGCTC